TCCTGCTTGGAGGACAGATCACGAAACACTCGGAGCGCCTGGGGCAGATAAAATTTTGGGCACCCTCCCAAATTGATAAATCAAATATGTTTCATTTCAACTGAGTGAGGATAGCAAGAAGTCATTTTCACATTAATAAAAATCATAACCCCCTTTCTTCGTGTTCAAAGTGGAGATGTATTACACACACCAACAGGAATTGTCAACAGGAATTGATTTTGGAATTGTCTTTCCCGATTCTTCCCTGACTCACAACTGGAAAGCATTGCTCACCCACTCTCCCTCATTTGTAAATAGCAGAAATTACTGCAGAAGCAATAACAAGTCTTATTCTAGACACATTTATTGCTTGTTTTCAGGCGTTTGCGGTTACAGCGACAGTGTCTCACTTGCTTGCCCAGGCTGGTGTGCAGTGATGCAATCATAGCTCACCACAGCCTCAAACTTGTAGGCTCAAGCAATCCTCCAATCTCAGCCTCCCCAGTAGCTGGGACTACAGGTGGACAACTTTTTAGGAGATATTTTTTAAGGCTTGCAGATATCTTCTTGGCCCAGCCATGTCCACTGCCGGGGCAGCCAGCTGGCTGATCTCACAGCCAGGCTGGCCAGTGGATGCAGCAACTTGCAATGCACATTGCAGAAATACCCACACAGAGGTAGGCTGGTGCTGGGGAGGAGTAACTTTTCTTTCTACTTAGGGGCATTGTCTATTTTGGCAAAAGGGACGTCAGTTTCATTTCCACCAGCTACGTGAGAATCTGCAGGTGGAAACCTGAGTTAACAGGCGGCAGATTTCTGATGGATCCCTGTGGTTTCAGTGTTCCTCTGATTAGTGTATCAGGAAGCTGCCCACCTGCCCAACCCATTAATTTCCTTTAACTTGCCTCCTCCAGGAAGTCTTCTTTGACATTCTCTCACCCTTGGGGGCCTCAGCTGGTGAAACCCTATCAGTTTCACCACTGGACCTAGCTTGCCTTATTGGACTATCTGTATATAGATTCCAATCTTATCTCTCCCCAGCTGGACTCAACACAGTTTGAGGACAGCATCTACATCTTCCACATTTTTGTGGTCCCTATGATAGCCAGCATATGCCAGGCAACAAAGGAAGGTTGACTCGAATCACTCCTTGAACAAACTCCTAAGTACGGACCTGACGTGCCCCTAATACTCATCATACCTTTCCTAATGATTCTTTTGTGTTCTCTATTTCAAGAAAAAGTGGGAACATTTAACTATTATTCTCCAGAAATTCCCACCACAATGTGAACTTGTCCTTACCCAGAAAGCAATTTCACATTATCATAACAACTAGAACATGGCAATATTAGCAAAATTCTCTCCAGGAATCATTATCAAAACGTTTGCCCACTTGATGCTTGTTTTGTAACCATTCATCTGACAATTATTTATTGAGCGATTACCAAGCACAAATGGTCCTCAACTTAAGATGGTTCAACTTAGGATTTTTCAACTTTATGGTGGGTTTATTGGGAGGTAACTGCATCATAAGTTGAGGAGCACCTGTACTAGTTTGGGTTTTGGGGATATAGGAACAAACAAAATGGGGGAAAAACCTATCATAGGGAACTGATATTCTAGTCGGTAGGAAATGGACTAGTAAAATATATTAACATATTGTGACTAAAGAACATGGAAAGGCTCACTGATCCAAACGGCCTCTGATGAAGCAATGGTGCTATGATGGGCATCGTCCCTACCAATCATATTTGCCCCAGAAAAGGGTGCAAAAATGACCATAAGACTTTCCCCCTTGAGAGAGATGCCTGCTTGTTAGCAAATAATTTCTGTACCAGTTGCTATGTCACAAACCACCCCCAAAACTTTCTGGCGTAAAACAATCATGTTATCATGCTCATAGATTTTACAGCCCATAACTTGGACAAAGCAGAGCAGGAAGAGGTGATCTCTGCTCTATGATTTCTGGAGCCTCTGCTGGGAAGAATCCAAGTTGAGAGTGATCTGATGAGAGGGAGCTAGAATCATCTGGAAGCATCTTCACTCATGCCTGGCAGCTGATGCAGGCTGTCAGCCGGGACCTCAGCTGGGCTGTGAGCTAGAGCACCTTCACACGCCTCTCCATGTGGGATGACTTGGACTTCCTCACAACATGGTGGCTGAGTTCCAAGAGTTAGCATCCTGTCCATGAAAGCCCGGTGGAAGCTCACAACATTCTTATAAACTAGCCTCAGATGTCACATGGCATGCTGGGTGTGCAGTGGCTCATGCCTGTAATCTTGGCACTTTGGGAGGCTGAGGCAGGAGGATGGCTTGAGGCCAGGAGTTCAAGACCAGCTTAGGTAACATAGCAGGATCATAGCAGGACCTCTGCAAACAACAAACAACAAACAAACAACAAACAAACAAAAACACAATAATAATAATTATCCAAGTGTGGCAGTGTCCACCTGTAGTCCCAGTTACTCAGGAGGCTAAGGCAGGAGGATCGCTTGAGCCCAGGATTTTGAGGCTACAGTGAGCTATGATCTAAGTAGGCTGGGCAACAGAGTAAGACTCTGTCTCTGCAAATAACATGAAGAAGTCACATGGCAACAGTCCAGCCATACTTGTCCGGGGCAATTACAAAGATCCGTGCAGGTTTGAAGTGTAGACCCCACTACTGGAGGGAAGGGGGTATCTAGGTCACACGGTAAGAGCACATGGATAGGAGATACTTTTGAGGCCAACTTAGGAAAACGCAATGTTCTACACGACCTGTGTCTAATTTCCGAACAAGTGGGATATCTTCATCTACCCAGAGTCATCTTGAAAGCAGAGAGCAAAAACCACTCAAGCAGAAGATAATATCTGAGTGTTGCATAATCCTTGGTTTGGAGCAGAGAATAAAACAGCAGCAGAACAACACTTCAGTTGATCAGCCCCTGCCCTGTAGAGCAGGTACTCGTAATGATCTGAAATTTCTGCCTTATTTTCAAAGAATAGAAAAATTAGGCCTGGGCTAGAGAGGAGACTCATTCTTGATTTAGGTCAAGTGCCTAAAACACAGAGGCAAAGCAGTGTGGGTGAAACTGTACACACTTTGGAAGCACAGTGCTAGATTTAAACCCTCACTGTGCCACTTACCAGCTGCCCGTCCCTGGGCAATTTCTCCACCTCTGAGAAACAGTGCGGCAATATTAACTTCCTCGTGAGGTTGCTGTGAGGATTAAATGGGGTCATATCTGCCAAAGCCTTTGTAGCTACCCTGGAAAGAATCTCAGAGAATTAAATGGGGTAATATCTGCCAAAGCCTTCGTAGCTACTCTGGAAAGAATCTCAATCATTTAAACTGCCAATGGAACTGATCCATTTTTATGATGTTTAATTCACTGCAATAAAATGTGTTCTCATCAAGACTGCGGACCATTCCTCTGTCCGGAAAGCTTACCCTAAGTGACGTACTTTTCCATCGGTGGGCCTTTTTGGGGAAATGATCTGCTTGTTTCTATAACCGTCCTTTGAAAGAATGCGCCATGGCATCTGAGATCCAGAAGAACGAGCCTTGTTGATCCAGTGGGGTCCAGGAGTTGCTCCGTCCTTGGGGGGCTCACGTTCTGTTTGCTTCATGAGAACAGAGAAAGGAGACTGTTGACTCGGGGGAGGGCTTATCTCACCAACCTGGCATTGTATGAGCCCACTGAATCAGATTTGGGGCTGGTTTTGGTCACCACTAGAGTGTCAGAGAAACTCAGTGGTAGAGAAAGCAGAGATTTTCCCTATCACATGGTCAACAGGAACCAAGGAATCAAGAAAGCAGGAACCAAGCTGATCCACGCCTCTGGGAAGGTCTCATAATTTGCTCCCGGTATGCTCCTCCTTGGTCACCAAGGCAGGGTCTCCAGGGGTTACCACTGAGATGAAGCCATCATATTGATTGGAAGGGATGACCATTACTTAGGCAGATCTCCCACTGTGCAAGGTCACAGCTTTAGAGGAAATGAGAAAACAGGGAGGAGTGAACAGAGAGGAAGCCAAATATTAGAGGAAATGAGAGAATAGGGAGAAGTGAACAGAGAGGAAGGGAGGGGAAGTGACTCACTATGAAACTGTGATTTTTCAGGTCTTAGGAACTGAGAGTCCATATGTATGGGATGTAAACATGTGTGCCTACCCATCTGTCTGCCTAAGCTCTGCTTCCACACACGGGAAGGAAGCCCACAGCTTTCACCCACTGGCAACATAATCACAAGGTCTATAGCTCTCCCATCTAAATGCAGCCCCATGAAGCTGAGATGGCTCATAGCCAGGGAATAGGGGCCAGATTCTGAGTTGAGAAGTCCTGAGTTCAAGTCCTGTGACTTAACATTTGGGTAACTTTCAACAAGTCAGGTAACTTCTCTGAGATACCATCTCCTCACCTGTAAAATAGGGGAATTAATCCTTGCTCAGCCTTCCTCAAAGGATAATTTTCAGATTCCGGTGTTTGTTATCTGTGCCTCCAAGATCCCGTAAGATCCACTAAGGCAGGGACCATGATTGCCCTCTTCCCTGTTGTACCTCTTCGTGACACCTGTCATGAAGTAAACATTCAAAAAAGACTGGTGAATAAATGAACGATGGTATGATGAACTCAGCCCCTGCCCTAGACAGAAGGCAAAGAAAGCTCTTCTTGCATTGCTCATTCCTTCCCACCAGATACTGCTCCTTAAAGTGTGGTCTGTGGACCAGCAGCAGCAGCAGCACCTGAGAGCTTGTTAGAAATGCAAATTCAGTCCGGATATGGTGGCTCACACCTGTAATCCCAGCACTTTGGGAGGCCAAGGCGGGCGGATCACCTGAGGTCAGGAATTTGAACCCAGCTTGGCCAACATGGTAAAACCCCGTCCCTACCAAAATTACAAAAATTAGAATTAGCTGGCGTGGTGGTGCATGCCTGTAGTGCCAGCTACTTGGGAGGCTGAGGCAGAAGAATCGCTTAAACCCGGGAGGCAGAGGTTGCCGTGAGCCAAGATCACACCACTGCACTCCAGCCTGGGCGAGAGAGTGAGACTCCATCTCAAAAAAAAAAAAGAAAGAAAGAAAGAAGAAATGCAAAATCATGAATCTTAATTTGGGGGTGTTGGAGCCCAGGAATCAACACACCCCCTCCATGATGCCAACATTCACTGAAGTTTGAAAAGCATTGCTGTTGGACACACTGGGGTGAGGTTAGAATGGTGTATGAGATGCCACGCCCCCTTCTTGAGTTAACTACTTTCCATCTAGTTCAGGTGTTCATTACCCAACCCACCCCACCTCTTCTTGGCCAGCCTTGGAAAGGCTGTGGAAGCTGGCAGGTGCCTGAGGAGGGAGAGGAGGTCTTGTCTCCTCCTCCCCCTCCCCACGGTGACCTGGGAGTAGCAGGTCTGGCCCCTTCCTGTTTCAGCAGAACCTGCATATACTGTGAGAGGATCAGGAGATAAGCTCTGCTCTCCTCAGCCCTGAGCAGGGGCAGATACATGAGAGCTTTGCAAAGTGGGCCTCTCCCAGGCCAGGCAGCTTCTCTGCACCCTGGCAATGCCCTGTAGGGGCAGCTTGGAGGTCTCAAGCTGGGGTCCCAAGTACCATTTCATCCTCCCCCATCTTTTGGCCCCTCTACTGAGGTCTCTTCCCACCTCCTCTCAAGGACCTGAAACTGATAGTGAGCTGTTGGAAGCGTGCAGCACAGATGAGCCTCTGAGATAAGCACACACGATAAGAACTCACACAATCACCCTGGTCCTGTTCCATGTTCTCAGTGGCACCTGATTCAAGGTACCTAGAAGCAGCTCTTCACACGTGCAAAAGAGAAAGTGGGGTAACTACTGAAGGAGGCGAGCTGGACTCCCAGAGAGGTAAAAACAAAAGGCAACAGGGACAGATGAAGAATCCTGCACTATCCAAGAAAGCCAACAGTTCATGTCCAAGATCAGAGCAAGGAGGTGCTGGGAGCAAGGGAGCCTGACAGCCACGGGAACCAGACTGAGGGTTTCAATCAGATGTCCATGGGGTGGCTTGAAAGCAATCTTGGCCACACTGATACAGATCATGGAGTAGGGAGGTGACAAATCCACTCAGCTGTCCATGGGGCAGTTAACCTTAGTGCCAGAAGGAGCTCTGGGTCCCACATTCTGGAAGCATTGTAGAGAACTGGTGTCTTTCCCAAAGACTTATGTTATGGGAGGAACAGGAGATGCTTAACCTGGATAAAAGACAATTCTAGAAAAGCTACAAGAAAACTGACTTCAAATATTCGAGAGAGCTCTAAGCGAAAGACAGAGCAGCTTGGATCCTTGCGGCACAATGAAGATTAGCTGAGGCCCAATTGCACCTCCGTGCATCTGGGTCCTGCCTTCACTCCTGCCATGCTCAGCAACATCCTGGTTGCCAATGACACCCCAGACTGAGTCAGCCCCATGTCCCAGTCCTGGGCCTGGTGGAGGTGGAGGTTTAGGGCTTAGAGTCAAGAAGCCCTGAGCTCCGGACTTCACCCTGCGCCCTCTCCTCGTGTCACCCTGGCCCTGAAGCGCAGCCTCTCTGGGAGTGGGATTTCCTGGTCAGTAAAATAAGGATGATCACCCCAGCCCTGTAAGGTCATAATGAGGATCGATTCATTCAACAAACACATATCGAGCACCGTGCTCCTGCTGAACATCACCCTCCCAAACCGGAGGCTGGTCAGTAAAATCAAAAAAACAAAATGTGTTTGTTGAATTGGTCAGGCTGGTCTTGAACTCCCGGCATCCAGTGATCCACCTGCCTCGACCTCCCAAAGTACTGGGATTACAGACGTGAGCCACCGCACCCAGCCTCTCAGTTTCTTTATCTGTAAAATGGGAGTAATACCAACTGCACCTGCCTCACAGGATTATTGGGAGAAGCATTAAGAATGGATTTGTACTTGCAGAGTGCTTGAAACAATGCATGGTAAGTGCTCAGTTAACGCTGCCGGTGACCGCCAGGGCCTTTTCCCTGTCCTTCTCTCAGAGTTGGCTTCTGGAGAAACCCAGCCTGAAACACTGGGGCAAGCAGTGATTGGTCCAGGCATTGTTTCAAGCGCTCTGCAAGTACACCACCACACCAGGCTCTTCTGAAAATTTCAGGAGTCTCCTCTGGGCCTCTGCATACCACGTATAATGACAATGACAAACTGAGCTCAGGTGGGAGTAGGCGGTTCTGGGCCAGAGCCCACCTGATGCTGAGGCTGACAAAGTGCCTCCAAGTGTTTGGGGACCCACCCAAAGGCCTCCTCTAAAACACATCTCCCTCTCTCTGGCGAAAACCTGAGATCACCCTCTGAAGTGTCTCAGGCAAGGCGAGGTGTTGAACAGAGAGCCTTGGGGACCCAGGTCCCTGACATCTGGGAACTGTCAGACCCTCTCAACCGCAGCACCCCTTAGCTGAGGGGAGGTCAATGACTCAGAGGAGAACACCTGATCCCTATCTTCCGTCCATCTGCCAGCGCTTGGTTTCCGTCAGTCAGCAGATCTCAGGTTACATAAAAAAGCTGGTATTGCCGATTCGGCACATTCTGCACGATGGTGTGTGCCAGGTGGTACCCAGCACCTCCCAGCACACAGACCAGGATCAGGGTGAGGAATAGGTGAGCAGGGCCCACGTGGGGGCAGCTGCAAGGCAGCTAAGCATGCCACCTCTGGAACCACAATCCTGGCTCCTGAATGTGTCGCTGTCTGATTTGGGGCAAGCACCTTAGCCTTCCCATGCCTGTTTCCTTGCCTGGGTAATAGGCAGATTTACTGCTAAGAGTTGTGGCTCTGGAATCAGACAGTCTAGGTATGGATTTTGCTTCCACCACTTATTTGTTGTGTGAACTTTACAAGTGTCTCAGCCTCTCTGTGCCTCAGTCTTTTCGTTTCTTTCTCTCTCTTTCTCTCTCTCTCTCTCTTTTTTTTTTTTTTTTTTGTGACAGAGTCTTGCTCTGTCGCCCAGGTTGGAGTGCAGTGGCATGATCTCGGTTCACTGCAACCTCTACCTCCCAGGTTCAAGCAATTCTCCTGTCTCAGCCTCCTGAGTAGCTGGGACTAGAGGTGCCTGCCACCATGCCCAGCTAATTTTTGTACTTTCAGTAGAGATGGGGTTTTGGGATGTTGGCCAGGCTGGTCTTGAACTCCTGGCCACCAGTGATCCGCCTGCCTCGGCCTCCCAAAGTACTGGGATTACAGATGTGAGCCACCACACGCAGCCTCTCAGTTTCTTTATCTGTGAAATGGGAGTAATAACAACTGTACCTGCCTCACAGGATTGTTGGGAGAAGCATTAAGAAATGGATTTGTACTTGCAGAGTGCTTGAAACAACGCCTGGACAAATCATGGCCGGCACCAGTGTTTCGGGCTAGCTTTCTCCAGAAGCCAACTCTGAGAAGAGGATTAAGTACAATATTTGACTCCTCTGAAAATGACCCCAGCAAGCATCTATAAGAAAATGGGGAAATAAGACAGGGATGGAGCCAAAAGAGGGTGCATGAGCAGGTTACCTTTGTGGGCAATACGAGTTCAATCCTGCTGGGGGACTCTGGGGGCTGCAGAGAAGCCCCTCAGTATTCTACCACCCAAAGGCAAGAAAGCTGGGATGTAGAAAGCTGCAATAAAAGCAAAGGAGCGGCCAGGCACAGTGGCTCATGCCTGTAATCCCAACACTTTGGGAGGCCGAGACAGGAGGATCACTTGAGCCCAGGAGTTCAAGACCAGCCTGAGCAACACAGGGAGACCCCGTCTCTGCAAAATATAAAAATAGCCCGGCATAGTGGCATGAGCCTGTGGTGCCAGCTACTCAGGAGGCTCAGGAGGATTCCCTGGGGCCTCGGAGGTCAAGGCTGCAGTGAGCTGTGATTGTGCCACTGCACTCCAGCCTGGACAACAAACAGAGCAAGACCCTGTCTCAAAATTAATAATTTTTAAAAGAAAGCAAAAGAGTGTAAGGGGACAGGGTCCCAACAGCAACCACCACACCAGGCTCTTCTGAAAATTTCAGAAGTCTACTCAAGGCCTCTGCACACCATGTATAATGACAATGACAAACTGAGCTCAGGTGGGAGTAGGGGGTTCTGGGCCAGAGCCCACCTGATGCTGAGGTTGACAAAGTGCTTCCAAAGGTCAGGGGGACACCCCAAGGCCTCCTCTGAAAAACATCTCCCTCTCTCTGGTGAAAACCTGAGATCACTCTCTGAAGTATTTCAGGTTAGACTAGGATATGATCCAGTCGGCACTGGAGAGTGATCCCTCCAGCTGGGGACAAGAGCTTAGGAGGCAGGGCAAGCCTAGGGGGACTGGAGCAGGGCAGAGGGGCATACAGTCTCCTCCAGCACCCTGGCAATGCCTGCCAGGCTTGGTTTTGAGTGTCGGATCATTGGGATCTCTAGGCAGGGGCAGGGCATTTAAGGAACTGAATGGAACTCACTCCTCTGACAGTTGGGGGTGGAAGAGCTGGGCGAGAAGGTATCCCAGCTGCTTCTCCTGTGGACAGCTGCATGGCAGGGGAGGAGTAGCAAGGCAGGCGAAGTCCCCCTGCATGGGTCTCCTTAGCTCGGGAACATGAGGAAGTTGAGGACACTCTGACTCCTGATATTCTTGGACAATTTCCCAGGCCCTCTCGCAAGCCCCCAGCTGGAGAAACAATGGAATGGTTTCAAAAGAAACCACTGGAATGTCGGACAGGGGCCCTGGGACCTCTAATAGCCAACCCCAGGCAGTCCCAATAATCACGCAACTGGGCCGCTTCCAAGATGTTCTTCCTAAGAAGCATGCTGTAAGAAAATCAAAGCCTCACTCCTAGGTCTCACAGGAAGGGTCTACACAGCCCGACATTTCCCAATCCCACATCCCCAAAGTCTTCTCTAGGCCCTGGGAGGTCCAGAAGGCAACACCTGCTCACTGGTGAGGTCCCAAAGTGCTCAGTAAGCAAAGTACATTTACAGTTGAATAGCAAGGGAAGGGAGGGGAGGCGAGGCAGGTTGACACACGGGCAAAAACCACTGTCTGGGCTGAAAGGAAGATCAGAGATGATCCAACCTGTTTCTAGAACTGGGGCAGAAGAAGAGGGACGTGGGAGCGTACGCAGCTGGTCGAGGGCCCAGGTGAGCCACAGGACAAAGGTGCTGCATCTTATTGGTACCTCAGCTTCACTCATAGACGTTGAAAAGGCTGAAAAGGGAGAGCCATGGATTATATACTGAAGCACAGGACGGAAGAAGCAAGAGTGTGAACAATTAACACAGAAAAGACCGATCTTCCACCTCCACGACCCCCAGGTAGCATTCCCTCAGGCTGCTGGGAGAAGGACTCCGACAGGGTCATTTGGGATGCACGAAGCTAGTGCAAAATGACCCATATTACAAATGAGAAAACAGGCCCAAGGAGGGCAGGACCCTGCCCAACTGCACCGGAGTTGGCCACAAAACTTCCATTGGGCCTTGCCTAAGGCTCCTCGGACCTTTTTTCAACTCTGTTCCCTCCCTTAAATGGGTCCTCCCACCTTCCCTTTCCTACTTGCTCGCTCTTCTTTCCCCAGGAAACTTTGCAAGAAAGGCAAAAGCGAATCCCAGAAAAAAGACTGGCTCATCAATCACTTAACGAAGCCCGCGCGAATTGCGCATGCGCATGCTGAGCCCCACCCCACCCACTCCCAGTCCCGCCTCTGCATCCCTCACCAACACGGCCGCCTCAGCAACAGCCCCTCCTGCGCGTCACGGACGTGGCGACTCATGACGTCATAGGAAGGCGCCGGTTGTCGGCGGGGTCTGCACGTGTGCAGGGGTGTGGAAACTTACCCGCTGAGGCATGGATACACCGCTCAGGCGCAGCCGACGGCTGGGAGGCCTAAGGCCCGAATCCCCCGAGAGCCTCACCTCAGTTTCGCGGGTGAGACGGGCCCTTGTGGAGTTGCAGTCGAACCCAGAAGAAACGAGGGAGCCTGGGTCTCCTCCTAGTGTGCAGCAAGCTGTCCTGGGGTCCCCGGAAAGACCGCCGGAGACAAGCCCAGGATCACCCCGTCTGCAACAGGGTGCAGGCTTGGAGTTCCCCCAAGTGCAGCCAGAGCCAGGCCCAGGGTCCCCCCAGCGTCAGCAAGACCTACACCTGGAGTCGCCTCAAAGACAGCCGGAGTCCCGTCCTGAATCCCCACGATGTCAGCCGAAGTCAAGTGAGGAGGCATCAAAGTGTTCTCAGGACCAGGGAGTACTGGCCTCGGAGTTGGCCCAGAGTAAGGAGGAGCTGACCCCGGGGGCCCCCCAGCATCAGCTACCGCCGGGCCCAGGATCACCAGAGCCTTACCCCGGTCAGCAAGCTCCCGGTCCGGAGCCCTCTCAGCCACTACTGGAGCTGACACCCAAGGCACCTGGCTCCCCGCGGGGTCAGCATGAGCCGAGCAAGCCACCTCCAGCTGGGGAGACGGTGACAGGCGGCCTCGGGGCAAAGAAGCGAAAAGGTTCTTCATCCCAGGCCCCAGCGTCCAAGAAGTTGAACAAAGAGGAGCTTCCTGTAATCCCGAAGGGGAAGCCCAAATCGGGGCGAGTTTGGAAGGACCGCTCCAAGAAAAGGTGAAGTAGGGGATAGCTTGGACTGGGGTGGCGTTCTCTATGATGTTGGGACCCCGCCTTTGCCCTGCTGCAGCCTGGAGAATAGCCCCAGAGTTAGAGAGAGCTCACGTTAGTGAGGGTGTCAGCAAACAGGTAATTACAATCAGAATGTGGTAAAATGACCTGGGATCCCGGAGGGGTGGGGCCAGGCCCTCAAAGATCAATTTCTCTGATGCCTTTCCTCTTCGGGGTCCCTATGGGCCTCTCCTGTAGCACCTCAGTTGTGTATTCGTTCAACAGACATTTACCGTTGTCTGCCCTCTCTAGTGAGTGAGGCAGAAGCAAGTAAACCAGCCATTACTTGATCAAAGCAGTGAAGTCTTCATCCAATATAGTCTGTTACAGTTATTTGCCTTTAAGATGAAAAGTATTACTGAGCACTGATTATATACAGCCTTTCAAACATGGAACAGCACGTATCATCACACTTAATCTGCACATCAGCTCTGTGAAGCAGGTGGTGGTATTCCTGTTTTTTGTGTGAGGAAACCGAGGCTAAATGAGTGGTAGGCACAGGATCTGAGCACAGATCTGATTCCGAAGGCTGTGTGCAAAACTCCTTTACCCAATCCCTGTAGATCCACCTTGAATTGGATTGCAACCTTCTTAAGGGGCAGGCACGAGATCTTTCTTGTCTTTCTGGGCCAAGAGCATAGTAAATGCTCAATGAATGCTTATTTAAGGAAGGAACGAAATGGCTCGTCTGAAGAAGGAAGAGTTTAGGCCGCCGTGAAGGAGAGGTGTGGGGTTCAGTTCCAATTCAAGCTATTTGGAGCCACAGGGGAGAGTCTGGGATGCATGCCTGTGAGGGGCCATGAGGAAGGGGGGTGTTTTTAGGGAAGAAGCTGACTCCGTGCCAGGCTTCGTGCTAGGCCCTTTTCTTGTACCCTTAAAACCCTAGGCTGTGGGTATTATCCCCCCACCCCTGACTCAACAGAAGAAACTGAGGCTTACAGAGTAATTTATTGCAAGTCTCCCATGAGAGAGACTTTGAAGCTAGAGTGACTGTAGCTGTTGGAGAGGTGGATGATGGCACTACCCCTCTGCCCTGTCCCAGCGGGTCACAGGAGAATGGCCGGGCCACTGATGGCCATGTGGAACTGGAGGAGGCTGGTCCAGGTGGGAAGAGGGTGATGAGCAAGTTGAGCGAGTGAAGCTTGGGTCCTGGTACTCATGCTGCAGGTGAGATGGGCTTGCTGAGCTCAAGGGGGCCCATGCACAGGTGAGGAGAAGGGAGGGGCCCGCACAAGACACAGAATCAGCATCTGGAGCAGAGTAGGAGGCCACAGATCACTTGACCAAGAAGTCTGGAGAGAGGGTTTGTGGTCTCAGCTCCCTGCCCAACTGCAGACCCTTCCTGACTCGCTGTTGCTCACTCAGAGCACGCACTCCAGCCTCCTTAATGAGGCCGGCAGGCCCACCCTCCTCTCCCCTCCATCACTAGAGCTTCCACACCGACGTCCCCTCCATGTTTCCCCCGTGTGTGACGCTGCCTCCTTCCTCAGCGCCTTCACACGTGCTGTTCCCGCTGTTTGAAAGGCTCTTCCCTTGGCCAGTCCCCCACTCATGTTTCAAGGCTCAGCTCAAATGTCACCTCCTCTGAAGAGCCTCTGGCTTACCCAGCTAGGGTTAAGTCCCCATGCTTTATGTTCTCATCGTGTGCTGTCCTTCTCTTTTGTGACACCTCTGTTTGCACAAATGCTTATTTATTTCCGTGATTCTTATTGACTGCCTGTGATCCTTTAAACCAGAGGCTCCATGAGAGTGTGAGAGTGGGGACTTACCTCTCATGACTAGATCCCCCAGAGCCCAACGCCGGGCAGGCACTAAGCTGAACAAGTGGATGAATGAGGACAGAAGGTAGTTCGTTCATTCATCAACCAGTTGCTCAGATCTGGGGTAAACATGGCTGTGAACAAAAAGCCTCTGCTCTCCTGAAGCAAACGTTGTAATTGTGAGAAACAGATCAAGAACAAGTACACACATGATATGTCTGGAATAAAGACTTTCAAGAAAAATAAACCAGGATAGGGACCAGAGAATAACAGGGAGGGCTGGGTATTGTCACAGTGGTCAGAGATGGCCTCGCAGATGAAGAGGCCTGAGCACAGGGAGCCAGGCAGAGATCTGGGGAAACAGTATCCAGGCAAGAGGAAAGGGAAGTTCAGAGGCATTGGGGCGGGAGCAAGCTCCCAGTTTGAGAAGTATCCAGAGGTCTTGCTGCTGGAATGAGGGGGAGAAGGGGAAACAGTAGGAGATGAGGTCAGAGAGACAGCAGGGCCTGGTGACCCCTGCAGGGACTCCAGATTTCCTGAGTGAGCTTGGGAGCCATGGAAGGGTGTCAAGCAAAGGAATGAAATGACCTGACTTGTGAGATCAGCCTGGCTACTGGACACAGACATAGGCCAGCAGGGGTGAAGGCAGGGAAACCCACAAGGAGGCTGTTGCAAGAGAACTAAAACAGCTTCAGAAGCTGCAGGCAGGTCTGTGGAGAGGGGCCCCGTAGGGCCACTAAATGGATGTTTAGGATCTTTGAGGGAGCAGCTTCAGTGGGTGGTGAGTGAACCGGGAGATGGATGGGAAGCAGCTCCTGCTGCAGGGAGGAAGACAGCCACAGCTGGGAAAGCGTGTGTGCTGAGGGAGACCTGGCTGCAGCCCTGCCTTCGTGCTCATGCCAAACGCCACCTTCTCCGTAGTGCCCCTCGGGCATGCCTGTCCTGACCCGTCTCTTGAGGAGTAGCGTTATGGAGCCACCTATTATGTGTGTGTGTGTGGATTAAATGTCCTACCACCCTTTGGGTTAGGAATGATTCTCATCTCCACTGGAGAGGATGGCTGAGACTCAGACTACCTTGCTCAAGGTCACCCAGGGTGGTAAGTGGTTGGACTTGGAACCCAGGCCTGTTCCTTCAATACACAGGTGAAACCGATGGTCTGGAACTGCCCTGCCTCAGTACCTAGCTGCCAGCCACAATGTGGCTATGTTAAATTTAAATTATTAAATTAAATAAAAATGTAAGAATTCAGTTCTCTATCCAACAACCAAACCACATTCTACCGCCTCAGCAAGCCACCGCCATGACTAGTGGGCTACCTTATTAGACGGTGGGTCAAATGTGGAATGTTTTAGCCAACCGATACAGAAAGTTGTTTGGACAGCCCTGCTCTACAGAGATGCCAGCACTGTGGTCCTGTGGTTCTGTGTGTCTCTAGGCTCCCACCACCTTGTCCCTTCAGGGTTCTTGTACCCCAGCTTGGGAAGCCCAGCTTTACAGTTATGGGGGAGGTCCATGTGGCGCCCCATTCTTAGTGCTTAGGAGGCCAGGCCTTCAGTGGCAGGGCCCTGGGAAGGGGAGAAGGAAATCAGGGAGCTGGTGGCAGGACTTTGAGAAGGGGAGAAGGAAATCAGGGAGCTGGGGCCAGAAGTCGGCAGGGCCGAGGGACACCAAAATGGGCCTTGAATCTAAAAGAGAAAGGCCTAACTTCAGTATGCGGAGGCCACCAGACTCTTCTTTGCATTTTGTTTTTACTTTTTTTGAATGGAAATTTTCAAGCATACAAAGAGAGAGCAAAGCTCTCAAGCCCCCATTATCAGCATCAACACAGTTCAGCATTTTACTAGTCTAGTTTCATCTTTGATCCTTGGGTTTTTTTTTTTTTTTTTTGAGACAGCGTTTCATTCTTGTTGCCCAGGCTGGAGTGCAATGGTGCGATCTTGGCTCACCGCAACCTCCGCCTCCCAGGTTCAAGCGATTCTCCTACCTCAGCCTCCTGAGTAGCTGGGATTACAGGCACCTGCCACTGTGCCCAGCTAATTTTGTACTTTTAGTAGAGACAAGGTTTCTCCATGTTAGTCAAACTGGTCTCGAACTCCCAACCTTAGGTGATCCTCCCGCCTCAGCCTCCCAAAGTGCTGGTATTACAGGCGTGAGCCACCGCGCCGGGCCAATCCTTGGCATTTTTTTTTCCCTGAAATATTTTAAAGTACATCCTAGATACATCATCCCATTCATAAATCCTTATAGTATGCATTCTTATGGAGATGAGCTCAGTTCTCCTGTAACTCTAAAATCATCGTCGTTCTTTTCAGATTTCCCTGAGAGCCCTGATGCACACTCCGTCTCCAACTGGGGGAAGAGATTCTTGTTTTCCTTTTTCTTTTTTCTTTTTTTATTTTCGAGACAGAGTCTTGCTCTGTCACCCAGGCTGGAGTGCAGTGGCGCACGCTCTGCTTACTGCAAGCTCTGCTCACTGCAAGCTCCACTTCCCAGGCTCAAGCAATTGTTGTGCCTCAGCCTCCCAAGTAGCTGGGATTATAGGCGTACACCATCACATCCAGCTGATTTTTGTATCTTTAGTAGAAACTTTAGTAGGTTTTAGTAGGCTTGGTAGGTTTTGCCATGTTGGCCAGGCTGGTCTCCAACTCCTGGACTCATGTGATCCGCCCACCTTGGCCTCCCAAAGTGCTGGGATTACAAGCATGAGCCACCGCATCCAGTCTTGGCGGGGAAGATTCTGAATCATTACCCAGAACTCTAACCACTCACACTGCTGTGAAATGGAATGGGCCGCCTCCATAGGGGGTGAGCGCCCCACCTCCAGAAGCATTCACATCCAGGCCAAATGCGCTTGGCGGAAGCAGCAGAACTTTACAGCAGGGGGTACATAGCCTGGACTCTGCAGTCGCTGACAGGGTTCGGGTCCTGACTGCCACTTATCTTATATTAAGTGCCACTTATATTAAAGATGCCACAAGGTATCTTTAGTCAGCTATTTAACCTTCCCACACCTTGGCCTGCTCTTCCGTAAGTGGAGAAGATAGGAGTACGCACGTCAGAGGCATGTAGCCAAGGCTTGAGAAATGGCAGCCAGCACAATCAGGGTTCCCTCCCACCCCAAGTTTCTGCAGACCTGGAGGGCCGCCTGTCGGGCCATCAAGGAGGTGGTTCTGCCTGGCCTCTGGGGAAGAAGGTCCAGAGCCTACGGCTGAGAAGAGACAGGGCATGGGTGGCGCTCGCCCCACAGACCCTGTACGCACCCACTCTCCCCCTTTCAGATTCTCCCAGATGCTTCAGGACAAGCCCCTGCGCACATCGTGGCAGCGGAAGATGAAGGAACGGCAGGAGAGGAAGCTGGCCAAGGACTTTGCCCGTCACCTGGAGGAGGAGAAGGAGAGGCGCCGCCAGGTGAGGGGCCAGCCAGGCTGAGCTGGTGTCTGCTGGTACAACCTGAGGCGGGAGCTTCCGCGGGTGCCTGGGGGAGGCCGACTTGGTTAAGAAACGTTCTTGAATCTGAAGGCCCCAGGGAGGAAGGGCACCTGGCCAGAAGCAGAAGTACAGTCCGGGACCACAGGGCAGGGAGGCCCAGGGGACCATCCAGTTTAGCCTGGGCTGCTGAAAGAGCCTCAGGGACAGGGATGGAGGGGGAGGACCAGCAGCAGGCCGTGGGGAGAGGCCCAGGAGGGAGCCCTGGGGGGTAGGGCCATCAGTGAGATGGGGTCGAGGGCCCTTTGCTGGAACCTACTCAGTTGGGAAGGGCTTGCAGATTGGAAATCCATGTCCGCAGTATGGCTGCTGTCATTCTCCAAGCAGCAGCCCCCACACCTTTCCTCCACTTCTGTCCCCTGTCACCCATCCCGGAGCCAGGAAGCCCCTGTAAAGGGTCACAGCCTCACCCACATCTCCCAGGAACTTTTCAGCGGGGGGCGGGTGGGGTGGTGGGCGGAGTGGAGGTTGCGGCGCGGGGTGGGAGTGGGGGAGTGGGGTGGGAGTGGGGGTGACGGTAGGTGTGGGTGGGTGGGTGGCGAGTGCGGGGCGGAGTGGGATGGGGGAAGAGTCATGCTTAGCAGGCAGCATGCGAAAAAGCGGCCGTGGCACTGGTCAGGCACTGCCCCCCAGGGCAGAGACATCAGTGGGAGGTTCTTCCTCCACTCCTCTAATGACCCCAGGGGTGTAGGAGGAGTGCTGAACGGGATTCAGACAACTCATCCCTAGCCCGTGGTCCCAGCCTGGCCACTGAGGAAAGCGGTGGGCCAGTCACTCAGTCATCTGTCCCCTGCTTTAAGTCACCCCAGCTCAGCTTACAGCTGACATCCGAGGAACGGTGTGTCTGCCACTGTATGCTGAGGCCTTATCTCTTTTCCTGTGTGGCCCTGGCTCCCTCTTGGGCAAGACAGAGCTGCCGTCTCACTTCTCACGGTCCTCTGCAAAGGTACTCCTGCCCAGCCCAGGCCTGCCTTGACCACAAGAGGCCACGGCTCACTTCTCCTTCCTCCCCCAGGGCCTAGGCCACCCCTGCTACCCCAAGTCACCAAAGCCAGCAGAGACCCCTAACCATGCAGCAGCCTTGGAGCCGACGTCCCCACCCTGGCCTTGCCGAGGGACACAGTCAGCATGGCCAGAGAGCACTGGGCTTCCCCTCCCAAGACAGACTCCATCGAGAGTCTCAGTGTGCCCAAGGAGCTAGGGGCTGCTCCAAGCCCTGCACGTGCATTCCCTCAATGATTTCTCAAAACTATCTTACAGGGTAGATACTGTGGTCACTGTCACTTTAAAGATGGAGAAGCTGAGGCACAGACTTTGCTAAGGTCATCTGTTTGGGAAATAACAGGATCAAGATTCGAACCCAGCCCAGATAGCTCCAGAGCCTTTTCTGTGCAGTGCAGCCCCTCCCCAGCCCCACACCTGCGAAAATCTCAGGGACCCAGCCCTCACCCCTAACCTGGCATTCTGCAGCAGCGGGACTCCAGGGGAAGAGGGGGAGACCGTCCAAGAGGGTGGGAATGGGGGAAGGGCCAGCACCCCTTTCTCCGTTGGCAGTTGATGAGAGTGGCCCAAGGGACCACTGTCTGCATGTGCGTGAATCTCTAGGTGGGCACCCCCCATGTCTCAGCCCTGTTCTCAGTTGCCTGTCCCGTACCCACCTCCCAACGTGCTGTCAGGAGCTTCCGCCACAGTGGGCCCCTGGCACTGGCGCCTGGCACTAGACCGTGGCACAGGATTGCTCCCGCTGGCCCTCCACCCACACATCACCAACCTGGAGCCTGGTTTAGAGGGCCTTTCCCCTTGTGGGAATTCTGCCGGCTCGCACTCCTCTGGGGCCTGAGAGACCAGGGCCGCCTCCGCTCCCCGACTCAAATCCCCTTCTCCTGCATGTTCCAGGAGAAGAAACAGCGCCGGGCTGAGAACCTGAAACGCCGCCTGGAGAATGAGCGGAAGGCAGAAGTCGTCCAAGTGGTGAGTGTCTCGTTTTCCCCCCTTGCCTTTCTGCCCCGCTTGGGGGTGCAAACCAGGGCCTCGACCCCTGCCTCATGTGCCCCCACTGTCATGCTGTGATCTCAGGCCCCTGTGGGGCAGCTTCCTCTCCCTTGGGAATTTGGACCAAGGCTGCAGCCACACTAATGCCCTCCCCTCATACCGTCCCCAGATCCGAAACCCCGCCAAGCTCAAGCGGGCAAAGAAGAAGCAGCTGCGCTCCATTGAGAAGCGGGACACCCTGGCCCTGCTGCAGAAGCAGCCGCCCCAGCGGCCAGCAGCCAAGATCTGAGCTCAGGACAGCCCGAGGCCTTCCATGGCCAACAATCATGTCAGACACAGCACCTCAGGCCGCTGCTCAGACGCCTCTGCTGGAGCCAGCACTCCAACCCCGTGGCTGCAGAACAGGGACCCCACCTCGACCGGGGCTCCTCGGCCTTTGAAGGCTTCCAGGCAGGTCTGTGTGGGACAGAAGCCCAGAGGGGACCTGGGACCTGGCAGAGATGGGGGCGGGAAGAGATTCAGCCCCCATCCCTCCTTCCTCTCCTCCAAGTGCCTTCAAACCAAGAACAGCAATTCTTCTGGTTCCTCAGTGAGTTGGTGGCTGGCAGATGACTCCCCCAGCGGTCTATGCCCTTTCTCAGCATGCTAGGTCCATCCCAGGCCTGGAGGCTGGCAGTTGGGAACCCAGCTTCCCCCGACACCTTCCCAAAGACTGCTCTGAGCACCTCCACACCCCACTGGCTCTGTCCCCAGCAAACTGAATCCGGCTCCTCTCCACTTTTCAACACTGAAAGATTAAAATGGGGAGGTTGCAGGGAGCAGAGTTTTTCCCCAGTACCTCCTTTTCCAAACCAGACTCTGCAGAAGCCCCAGAGAATCTGACTAACTCATGCCTGTCCAGTCTACAGCAAAAATGTTTATTGAGTGCCTATTGCATACAGGCACAATCCTAGGCACCAGCAAATACAGACAATAGACCAAAGTCCCTGCCCTCGAGGAGCTTTCATTCTAATGGAGAGGAAACATAATAAACAAACAAAATGCACCACGTGTCCAATGGGGGAAGTGCTATGAGTAAAAGGGGAAGGGATAGGAGGGAGCAGGGGTGAGGTGTCAATACAGGGTGTCAATACAGCTAGCTGGGCACCTCACTGTTCCCTTTGCTCAACGCCTGCTGTGGGCCAGGCCTTCAGTGACCCTGGCTTTGGTGGCAGAAAAAAATACAGGACCAAGGTCTCAAGAGTTTCTCATCTGCTTCTTCCACTGACGTTTCATCCACCAAGCAGAATTCACTGGCACCAGTTTTTCAGTCCCTGGGCCGCAGAGCTCAAACCCAGCAGTCTCTGACCCCAAGTCCATGGCAGATGGAGGAATGAGACGCGGTGCAGTGGAAGTGGTAGGTCAGAAATGCAAGTTACCCCTCCTACCCACAAATGGGAAATGGTAGCTGCCCAGCCCCATGCAGCCTGGAGGCGGAGGCTGCACAGATCTTGGGATTACCAGTGCCCAGAGGATACCCAGTGGTATCCCACAGAATACCAGGCCTGCAGGGAGGCTGGTCAGCTCAGCTAAGAAATGACACGTGCTGTAGTCTCGGAGTTGCTGTGCCCATTCAAATTCTAAAGACGGAAGACTTAGTCATTTCCCCTGTTGGATTTGATTAGCCCCAGGTTTCCCGAGTGCTTGACCACGCCATCCCCTGCTGCTTCTGCCTTGGAAGCACTTTGGGCAGTGCTGGGTCACAGGGTAGCATCTTAGGTCCCTCCAGTAAGTCAGAGAATGTCCTCGCTCACCAGAGTCATTGAGCATGTGATGCCTAGGGTTACATACAGTGCAGACCCCTGTGGTCCTTAGTCCTGAAACTGGGCACGTCACTTAACCTCCCTGAGCCAGAATGTGCTCAGCTGTAAAGACTGGCTAATAGAAGCTGCTCCTTAAGATTGTGGGATAAAGCGTCTAGGGCAGTAAGCACTGGCTAAATAAAGAGGGCCAACTGGAACAGTGCTTCTCAAACCTTGCCTCTCTCTTCTCCAAAAATGCATAGCTGGTTTAACATAAGACTCCCTCTCCCATCATCTGGTAAAACTGAGCTCCAGGGAGACGCCCGTGTGCCCTTCCGACTCCACAGCCCTAGTGTGGGAAGTCTATTACGAGTTTCACTTTGTGTTACTCCAGGCCGCCTCTGTGAACCTGCCGCACTGGCTTCGCGGCCTGGGAGCTTGTTAAATGCAGACTCTCAGCACCCGGCCCGGCCTCCTGAATCAGCCTGCACTTAACAAGACCCCCGAGGTTTTTCACAGGCACATCAAAGTTTGAGAAGCACTGCTTTAACTCACTGTTTCTGAAAAAGATTCAGAGTCTCCCGGGGCGCTTTAAAATGCAGATGCCTGGGTCCCGCCCCCTCCGACTTTGATCACTGTGGCTGGAATCCGGATATCAAGTTGAACCGCAGTGCCCTGGTGATGCTTTCACGTGTGAGCGCTGCCCTACCCGGGCCGGGTTCTAACTCGAGGTGCTGCTCAGCGCCCGGTTCAGGGGGCCCCTCTGCGGGGACGCTGCGCAGCCGCCCAGCAGCCAGCCGAGGAGGCGCGCGGGGCCCCGCCGTTCCTCGGGGCGGCTGCTGAGAGCTAAGGAGGAGGCCGAGCGGGCCGTGGAGGGGGTGCGGCGGCGGCGGCGGCTGCTTCCCGCGCCACCCAGCTCGCTGTCGTCCACCAGCACGCTCTCCAGCACCGTGCGCAGCGAGCGCCGCAGCTTGCGCAGCATGTCGGGACAGGTGAGCACGTAGAGCACCGGGTTGGCCACGCTGTTGAAGAAGGCCAGGCTGGTGACGAAGGGCAGCCCGCGCCACACAAGCGGCCGCAACCCGCGGTTGGCGTGCGCCCGCGCCTCCAGCAGGCTGAACACGTGGTAGGGCCCCCAGCAGAGTGCGAAGGCCGCCACGACGGCCGCCACCAGGCGCACAAAGCGGCCGGGCCGCCGGCGTCCACGGTGCTGCAGTCGCAGGCTCACGGCCGCATGGCTCGAGGCGATGATCGCCAGCGGCACCAGGAAGGCCAGCAGGAACTTGCTGACTGCCAGGGCCGCCTGGCGCGAGTTGCACGTGGCGTCGCGGTCAGGCCCCGGGTTCAGGAGCAGCACGTTGTAGTAGCACATGATGCGCCCGTCCAGCCGTGAGATGGTGTCCCGGAACACGAAATAGGGCACCGTGTTGAGCACCGCTAGCGCCCAGAGCACCAGGCAGACTTTGTGCGCTGCGGCCACGGTGCGGTGGTTCTGCGCCCACACCGGCCACACCACCTGCAGGCAGCGGTCCAGGCTGATGGCGCTGAGCAGGAAGCCGCTGGCAAACATGTTGAGAAAGAAGATGGAGGAATGCAGTTTGCAGAAGGTGGTGCCCAGCTCCCACGAGTGGCCCACGGCCAAGAAGTAGGTGAAGAAGGGCAGGGAAGCAGAGGCCAACAGGTCAGACAGTGCCAGGTGCAGCACCCAGGTGGTGACCACGGTCTGGCGCATGCGGCAGCCCACCACGAAGAGGATGACTCCGTTCTCTACCAGGCCCAGCAGCGAGGCCAGCCCGTGCAGCAGCACGGCCGCGTGGTCGATGTAGCGGATGCTGGTGTTGCTGTGGCTCCGGAGATGGCTCATCTCCTCTAGGATGGGGCAGAGCGGCTTCAGCGTGGCGTTGGCGGACATCGTGGGGTTCTGCAGTGGAGGGAAGGAGGTGCCTAGGTTGGCAGTGCAGGGGCCACGGGGGAACCAAGAGAGAGGCCTGGGGTGGGACCGTCCCCAGGAGATGCCAATGTGACCCATGAATATATTGGGCGGTGGGGGCGGGGGGAGTAACATCCCAGCATTGCTGTGCCTGGGCAAGTCATTTAACCTTCCTGAGCCTTTTTCTGAATCTGAAACTTGGATGTCAGTCATAACAGCACCTAGCTCATAGAGTTATTGGGAGCATTAAATGAGTTACTACATAAAAGCATTTAGAACATGGCCTGGCACACAGCAAGCTCTATATCAGTGTCGTTGTGATGACTATGAAGCAAACGGTCTAGGATCACACAGAGAAATAGGAACAAGGTCAGGCCCACAGGACTTCTTTTTCCAATCCCCAGAGCACTGGCGGGTGAAGGAGTCCCCACAACTAGGGCAAGAGGGTCCTGCTGGCCTGGGGGATGGAGATGCTGCCCCTTCCCACCCACAGCACCCCCAGACCTTGCCTCTCTACAGATTCTCCGTGCAGCTCCCCGCACTCAGTGGTGACTGGTTAGATGTGTTGACTGTGAACAGTGGAACCAGCCCCTCCTCTGATAGTTGGAGAGGAAATAAGATAAGAGCCAGGAGAGCTGGGTAGGAGGAACTCCCACATGGGGCTCTGCAGGCCCAATGGGGCCAAAAGATCTCTCCCCGCTCAGGAGCAGCCACAGCAGCTCTCTGTGCCCTGTTCATTCACTTACTCCCCCATGCAGTCATCCAGAAATAAGACGTGCATGCTCACATCCTCATTGAAAGCCTGAGAGACCATCTGATGTGAGGCTGGTCAGGATCAGTGAGGGCTGAAGAAATTGCATGAGGCTCCATGCAGGAGGCAGGGGGCAAGTAGCCAGGGACAGGGACTCGGGTTGTCCTGGGCACCAGTGACACTCCAGGTACTATGGTAGGTCCTTCAATAGGTGCTGTCTTTCTGGCTCTAGAAGAATGGTGCTAGTACTCCATCCCATTTTACAGATGAGAAAACTGAGCCTCAAGTGGTTAAATAACTGGCCCAGAGCCACCCAGACAGCACAAACATGTGGAGGAGCAAGTTTCAGGCTCAGCCTGTGCTCTTTCCTCTTCCCCTATTCCAAGGAAGAGAGGATGGAGGAGGAAGAAGGAAAGTGGGAGAGGGGAGCAATGGTCTTTAGTACTCATCTTTCTAGGGAAAACACTGCTGGCCAGGATGAGAAAACCCACTCCCTTCTGGAGACCACAGTCCTCTATAGGGTGGGGTCCTGGGTTATCAAACTAGAATTTTGCTGGCAGATGAGCCCCTTGGAGCTGGGAATCTGCAGGTAGATGGAAAAGGAGCCTGTGCTTCCTGAGAATGGGCACTTCCTAGGCTTTAGAATATGCAGAGCAGTTACTCTTGCAATGGACCTATGAGACCCCATTTTTCAGAAGAAGAAACTGATGAAGGTCAGAAAAGCACAGCAACTTGCCCCGCATTCCTCAGCTGCAGCGGTGGGGCTGGGACTTCACTCCCAGCAGACAGCCAAGTGCTACCCACTGCCCTGAAACATTCCCTGCAGACCAGCTGCTGCTTATCCAAGTCCCATGGGGATGATCAGAGAGCACAGTCCTGCCATCCTTGGGAACCACCAGATCAGTCCTTCTGACTCAATAGAGACAGCCCCCGGCCTCCCAAGATTCTCAGGAGCCCAGCAGCTAAGGTCCAGCTTTGGCAGGTTAAAAAAAAAAAAAAAGAGGCGGACAGAGAGTGCAAGCTGTGGGAGTCCAAGACCTGGGTTTGAATCCCAGCTCCTCGGCTTCCTGGCTACGTGACCTTAGGCCAGTTACTTTAAACCTGCTGGTGTCATCTTCCCACCCAGACTGCTTGTGAATATTGACAGACAGTTGAGTGGTTTCCCCTGGTACCTGACATCTAGTTAATGCCTCAAAGAAGCTAGTCCTTCCCTCCTCTGAGCACCAAGTCCCCCTCCAATCTTTGGTAAACTCAGCCTTCTGCCAATCTAGCTGGTAACAGCCCTCTCACCTGGTAAAACTTTGCCTTCTCCTGTGGGTCCAGAGAGGGCGCTAGGCCGCTCAGCCCCTGGGCCACTGCCTCCTTACCTGGGCACAGAGGGAGCACAGGATTCCAGCCCCGGAGGCAGTCAGCTCCTGACAGCAGCTAGACAAGAGGCAGCAGGCAGACAGAGGTGGGAGACGGAGGCTGAGAGAGGAAATAGCTGTCAGCCCCAGTGCATGTGTGTTTAGGGGTGGGGTGTGGGGAGGCGGGGACAGCTAGAGAGTGAGTTGTCATGGGAGTTCAAGTAGCATCAGTCTCCA